ACAACCCAGCGTCCCTCACCTCCCGTCTTGGCGCAACAATTGACGTCGAGCAGAATCATGTCCGCTTCCTAGGCGATCTCATCCTCAACCTTTGGGACTGTGGTGGACAAGATGCATTCATGGATTCATACTTGAGTACACAACGCTCGATCATCTTCTCGCACGTCGGGGTCATGATTTATGTCTTTGACGTCGAGTCTCGTGAGATGGAGAAGGATCTGGAATACTATCGGGATTGCCTGGAGGGATTATCGCAGTTCAGCAAAGATGCGAATGTGTTTCTTTTGGTGCACAAAATAGACTTGGTGAGAGATACCGAACGGAATGCGGTCGTGCAGCGCAAGGCGGCAGAACTCGAGAAAGCCAGCAGCGAGACACCAGTGAAGGTGTTTGGGACGAGTATCTACGATGAGAGTCTTTACAAGGTACCGTAAAGCCCTCTTCTTCTGCCACCGATTTACCACTAAATTTTATGCAAGGCATGGTCGAATATTGTGAACACGCTTATCCCTAACGCTCGTAACCTCTCGAAACACCTCCGTATCTTCGCTGAAGCTTGTAGTGCGACTGAGGTTATACTATTCGAACGCACTACCTTCCTCGTCATCGCAACGTCTTCGCGAGCCGACTCCTCCGATGCTTTTCCCTCCGGCCCTGTTGTTTTTCATGCTCTGGATCCAAAGCGATATGAAAGGACTTCAGAACTCATCAAAGCCTTCAAACAGTCATGCTCACGACTCAGGGAGGAATTCCGCTCTCTTGAAATGGAATTAGCAGAGTTCACTGCTGTGCTTGATGAAATGACCAAAAATACTTATGTGTTGGTTGTAGTCCATGATCCAGTTATCGGTCAGTTAGTTGCAACTAAACGGTTGGTTTGAGCTCACCCACATCCATACATACAGAGACGGCGGCCATCAAGATGAATATATGCATGGCACGCAAGAAGTTTGAAGAGCTTCAGGGGGACAGCCTTATATTAGAAAAGTGAACCTTCACATTTGCGGGTTATCACGAATTAATGTACGATGCTTCCCTTAATCTACATGTTTGAGTGTTACCTAAAGAAATAAGGCGGTGCAGAAATAAGTAGGAGGTGCAGAAATTACTTTATTACTAGCTGCTTTGGCCCCCACTGTCAAAGGAACTTGGAAGGAGGGTGCATCAGAGAGGGACGCGTCGCGAAGTATTGACTACCAATAATTACAACAATTGATGGTATTTCAGGTCACCCAAACTGAAATGTGATCAGAATGTAATTAAAAAGTTCAATGGGCAACTCACATGCGATGGCGATGACCATGTACAGGGTGATGGACATGAGACCTGCCATATAATTCGACCTTCCACCCCTGAAACAAGGGAGTTAAATCTCAATGGGACTGACGTGCGGTGAAAGGAAATCTGACATAATCAACAGGTTGACAAGGAAGACGGATACAAAAAGGATGATTGTCTGAATATTCGTCAGAAAATTAGACGATCGTGCGAAATATGCTCTGAACCTCGAAGTTGTGAAAGTGCAACGTCAGGGGTTGGTCGACTCTAAACAAAAAGTAAGAACACCTCGCGAGATGCAATACATGATCATACATCCAACCAACGATCACAAGAAGTGGCACTACGAAGCAGGCAATTTGCTGTTCAATAGTTGGCACGACCACAAGCTTAGGACGAACGGTCTACACTTACAATCGAACTCCCAACGCAAATGGTGATGGTAAGCTCGTATTTATTCTTCATTGCCATCCAGATTGCAGTGACATGGTCTGCGGCATTGCCCTACAAACGAGGTTGGCCGACGGTTGGCCGAATACAGTTTGAAACATACCGCGATCGGTAACAAGATAACACCAATGAAAGCGTTCGAGATGGAATAGCGCACTGCAGTTTCCTCAATGGAGGCAACCACTAGCACAGTTGAACAATTGAACACAAAACCAAAGGAATAGGTGGGACTTACGATACTCAGCACAAACTGCGGTGACCACAGTTACCGATAGAAGTCTTGAGGGATGAGGACAACGGCCGAATGTATTAAATAAGGAAACAAAACTTACGCAACACTGGCAGCGGCTGTTCCCATGCGAGGCACTGTTTCCTCCGTTTCCGTCGTTTCCTCACTGTTTGATTCATCCGTAAGTGAAGCAGGCGAAATGAAGAGTTTGGGATGAGATTTTAACTAAACACTTGGATGAGCACACCGGAAAAAAAAAGAAGACTTAGTGGAACATGCCTGAAACCAAAGGTAGGCACAGTAAACTCCCAGCAGCAACATAGCAGTTTTTCTGGAAATAGAGAGTAGACCCGCAGTGGGACACTCAGAGGTATCACTACAATGTTTCTGCATTCCAGCGTTTGTAGTACTTGCGTAGGCTGCAGGAATAACAAAAGCTATGAAATATTAGCAAAATTCTCAAGTTGGAGAAGATATTCGTACTGATGCACGACAGAGTCATAAGCTATACTTGGTTAGTTATCATGGCGATGAATAGGGCAGGCAACTTACAGAGGCGGATCTAAAAATCATTGTCATTGTCATTCAAAAAGGGGTTTAAAGGGCAGAAAAATAGAGGACGCACGCCTGAGCTCCAGCACTATTGAAAATTCCTTCTTCGTGATATAATCCACCTATGTCGAGTGAACACACTCTCCTCCAAAAGCAGAGGCCCCTTACCGGCAAGGAACGAACAACCAAGAACAAGCAGTAAGTTTGACAAGATCGATCCCAGCATCTAAGCCAACGTCAATGAATCGCAATGAGAGCTCGCATGGAGACACTCACGGACATCTGAACAATTCGCAATTGACCTAGGATCATGGTGAGTTACGAACAATTATGTTACGGAGGACAAACCGTTCAGTAAAGCAGCAATGCCGATGATAACTTCTACGGCATTCCCAAATGATGCATTAAGAAGACCTGACATATTTTCCCCCAATTCGTTGGACAGTTGATCTGTAGCCTCGCCCAATAACTAAAAACGATGATGTCAGTCTTCCAGGAATCTGATGATAGGACTAGTGTCCACCTTAGCCAAGGGCACGATGGCCATCAGGCTAAACAAAAATATGAGGCCAGCGTCCCAGTCCATGACGTGAGAGATGAAGCTCAAGGGTATGAATACGAGCAAGATGTTGAGCCATGTGCCGAAAATAAAGAAGTTGAAAGATTCTGCCCATGATGGCTCATCCTCGCCTCTCATGAAGTCAACAATGCGACGAGTAAGAGGAGGGTACCTATGAGCCGAATAGCCGCCATTTTTGAGCAATGGTGAGGTTTCTAAGCTTGTCATGGATAGTCAGAAGGGCGGGTTTGTGAATTTGGAACATTCTGCAAGAAACTGCTTATATAGACGGTGTCAGAAAACTCACGAGTACGAGACTGTTATAATATGGTAGCTTCCCCTAGCAGCCCATTCTAGACGAAAGCAGTTTCCTTCTCCCGTGCGGCTATATATGTATATTGCTGCATTAAGTTTGAGTTATCTTTCCCACGGCCCTCCGTGGAAAAACAGAACCCGTACTTATCACATTGATCTCATTCCATCCATATAAATTTGTCAGCGTGCTACGAACAAGAAATATTTGGCCATCATGTCGCTTGGCATTGCACACGATACTTTACGTCTACTCTCGACGTTCCAATGGAATGTTTCACCGAGGTCCGACAGACTTCAGTCGCAGACATATTCTCTATGCAGGGTGGTTTTGTAGTCAGATTAAATTTCTGTCGCACGTACTTTATCAATGCGAGATTGGATTGCTTTTCGAGATAGAGACATGAATGCATTGATCCCCTTATCTCTCATCCAGTGAGGGTACATCAAGACGATGGTGTGAGCCGTAATACAGTTCGTGACAAGTGTGCTACGGAATTACACGATTGCGCTCATGCTGTGCGTGACTCTGGTGAGAAATCTGGGTGTAATGTTCACTAGTCATGCAAGGGAAGTTCTCAATGATATGTTGAAGAGTTACTAGTCATGGGACTAATTGGACCTCGAAATACTTGGGTAAAACGTAGGATGACACCACCGAGCTCCTGTCAGAATCAGTAAGCTTTTGATCCGAAAGAGACAGGATGTGCCAAGAAGCAGCAACAGAGGAAGAACTGGAAGCCATCACGATGGTGACTGCAGAATCACTAGACAAAGAAATACCTATGGTTATGTCCATTGATTGAGGATAGAAACCTGTGTAGCTACTACTGGACAGAACTTTCCAATCTATGGGACCCTCAGTGTCTCTTCTTATCTGAATACCCTGATGAGACTTAACCCCATCAATACACCGTTCCCGCATTTCCCGCCGGCCGTTTTAGACACGCATTTCAGCGAAGATCAGACGATTGGAGCTTGCAGCGATGCGAGCTGGTTTCTCATCCGCTTTCGTGGAATGTTTGCGGGAATCTCGAGGAGAGTATGGTAGTGGGGTGTGTTGCCTGCCTATTCCTCCGTTCTCCTTATCTCTTTGTATCGAGCGTCGGGATTCCGTGCAGACAAGATATTAGGTATGAGATTATGTCGCTGTATTATGGTATTGATCAATTGTAGTCATGAGTTCTTATATTTCGTGGGTAGAATATGGAAAAGATCATGACGATTAGACTGGTGACCAGCCTGTCTAACCCAGACTCGAAGATCAGATCTGGTCATCATTGAAACCAAAATGAACGCGCGACGAAATTCAATGTCCGACATTGGCACGGAATCGCACATCTGTTTTGTTCCGTTTCACTTGGGACCAACGTTAATAATCTATCTTCTTGGCTAGGCCCTGGCTAGCACATTCCCCTGACTCGGATACTATCACAAGAAACTTGTCTTTCAAGTTCGGACTTCTTGAGAAAGTTATGCATGTACGCAACTCTCAATTGGTCTTATAGCCAGGTGGGTTTCTCAACAGAATCAAAATCCATCACACCTTCCTATGCCCTTTTTCTATCGGAACACACCTTGACATTGACTCATGGATAGTTTCTTCAGAGTTCTCTCTAACTGGTCTTAGTCAAGTGGTTACCACAACAGACTCAAAATCTGTCTCCATTGGAGTTGGTTCGAAACTTACTGACAAGATTTTGTGTGTATAGATCCTCGGAGGTCCCTCTTGACTAGGCCCCAAGTCATTGCCTCGAAACCTCTCTATGTGATAGTCTGTCCATGAGAAGGAATCCACTTTCATGCCGTGCGATGGCTTCAGCCTTCCCTCGGAAAGGTTTTCAGTCATCATCCATGGTTCTTGAAGATGATTTGACGACAAATGCTGAGAAATTAAACACCTGTGACCATTCGAATATTCATAAATCGATAAGCTTGTTCACTTTTTATTTACCGTAAGTTATTCTCGTTCATCACTCTCGACTTCATAATGCACTCACTATGGCATCTGACCAAGTCAAACCAACTTTCGCGAGTTGATTGTGTTTGCGACCACTATTGAACATGCGTTGCCTAGCAAGCTTTCAGGTTCACTACAATGGTGTATACTTGGCAGTGGCCCTTAATCGGACAAACCTCTCAAAGGAAGGGAATGTCACGGTGCTCAAGCGTCTTCCGAAGTTTCGACTCCTGGTAAATTCAGCAGCCTTAGTTGTACTTTCTAAAAATTATATTCATCTCTATCATTTATCAGAACCTGTATTGAAAAGCATCACATGTAGCATATTGTCCGACAGCAAGTTTTCTGCAGCTTTTCTCGATTATTGTCCTGGCTCGCTATTTTCCAAAGGATTCCGCTGATGATGTACAATCAGTATGTCTTTGATGCATTCTCCAAATGATGGTACATGAGCATCAGTGCTTGTGGGACAGCGGCTAGCAGAACGACACATGGCAATACATGGTATAATATCACACATCCGACCATTTAAATGCACCACCTTCCTCGCCATCTGATCGCAACGTCAGTCGCGAACTGATTCCTCCGATGCTTTCCTCTCTGACCTTGTTGTTCTTCACGCAAAGGATCCAAGGCGACATGAAAAAACTTCAGAACTCATTAAAGCCTTCAAATAGTCATGCTCACAACTCGAGGAAGAATTCCGCCCTCTTACAAGGGAGCTGGCAAAGTTCACTGTTCTTGATGAAACATATGACAAAAATACTTACGTGTCAATTGTAGTCCATGACCCAGTTGTCGGGCGCAACGAATCATTGACTTGATGACCGGTAACATCATAATTTCAGCCCGAGGGAGAAGCAGCTTTTCATCCATGCATCATTGGCTGGCAATTACCCTCTTGGTACACTCAATTACACGACTTCTCCTGACCACTAGTATGAGTTAATTATGTCTACAGATTGTCATGTGCAAGTATGGCCACCATACGGCCGCGCAGCTCTAGATATACACGTGGGCTATGTAGCCCACATACGCGCGAGACTTTGCATACAAACTATCATCGATACAGGCCGTACGGCCTATCATCGAGCGATGACAAGATACATTGTATTCTTCCCGTTTTCGTGCACTTTGTACGCCTGCGCTAACACGTGGGACTGATTCGCGGTTCACGACACTACGGTCAGCTACTGTCGTTCTCGCCTGCACAAGTAGCCACATAGTCGGGCAGAGCTTACCTGCCTGGCACGTTGAGCTTGAACTCGTATTTATATTCACTGGTTTTAGCCAAGTGGATAACGTAAAATCTGTTCCTCCTGGGTGGTGCAGGTTCGAAACCTGCGGACAAATTTTTTCTGTATGACTGCACGTTGAGCATGAGCTCATGGACAGGTTTTTTATCGTCAATCACAAGACTTATGGTTGAGCTGTTAACAGATTCGAAATCTGTTACTTCTGGATGGTGCAGGTTCGAAACCTGCAGACAGTTTTGTTCTTTATGATCGCACGTTGGGCATGAGCTCATGGACAGGTTGTCGAGCATCAATCACAAGACTTATGGTCGAGCTGTTAACAGATTCGAAATCTGTTCCTCTTGGATGGTACAGGTTTGAAACCTGCAGATAATATTTTTTTCTTTATCATCGCACGTTGGACATGAGCTCATGGAGAGGTTTTCGAACATCACTCATGAGGCTTACGGTGGAGCTGTTAACAGATTCGAAATCTGTTACTCTTCGATGGTGCAGGTTCGAAACCTGTGGATAACATTTTTCGCTATCGGTATAATGGTAGTCGTTTATTGTAAGTAACACCGAAAAGGCCAGAATATTTCGAGCCTAGCTGGAGCTGGAAGCAGACGATCTTGTTTGTAAGCTGTGGAAACTACTTTGTTAGAACTGCAAAGCAGCTTATGCCTAGAATATGCTCAATGTCCAATAGGAAAGCGGTCCGTTACTGGTAGTTGCACTGGTACTTCTGGTCTGCAACGTTGCTGGAGTGGCTCCGTCGATCACATTGGATGTCCCTGCTGGTAGCGTGATACTACAGAGAACGTGGATCAAATTGTCAAAGATGGTGAGATGTGTACCGACACTACTGTACCATATGAAACTCTCGCGGAAGAACTCCTAATCATTGCCTTTGACATTTGGCATATTGGCAATGTCGCAAACAGCGGACCAGTTGAAGTGCAACTCGAATCCTAGTATAAGTTAATAATAGAGCATACGCTTCCCGCCATTCGTATTCAGGGAGACAGCCTTATCTTGAAAAATTGAACGCTCACATTTGCGGGTCATTAAAAATGAATGTATGATGCTTCCCTTCGAAAGTTAACTACGTACATGTTTGAGTGACGCCTAAATAAACAGGGCGGCGCAGAAATCAATAGGTGGCGAAGAAATGTGTATATTACTAACTACTTTGGCCCCCGCCATCAAAGGAACTCAGGAAGGTGAATCAGGGAGGGACGCGTCGGTAAATATTAAGCACCAATATTTATAATAATTGATAGTACCTCAGGTCACCCAAACTAAAATGCGATCAGAATGTGATTCAAAGGTTCGAGGGGCAACTCACATGCGATGGCGATGACCAAGTACAGGGTAAGGAGCATGAGGCCTTCCATATAATTCGATTTTCCGTCCCTGAAATAAATGAGTTAGGTCTCCATGAGACTGAGATGTGGTGAAAGGGAATCTGACATGATCAACAGGTTGACAAGGAAGACAGATACAAAAAGGACGATTGTCTGAATATTCGTCAGGAAATTAGATGATCATCCGGAATATGCCCTAGACAGACGGACCTCAAAATTGTGGAAGTGCAAAGTCAGGGGTTGATCGGCTCTAAACAACAAAAGAAATGTGAGAATGACACCTCGCGAGATGTAATACTTGATCATACATCCAGCCGACGATCACGAGAAGTGGCACTACGAAGCAGGCAATTTGCTGTTCAATAGTCAGCATAGTCACAGGCTTACGACGAACGGTCTACGCTTACAATCGAACTCCCAACGCAAATGGTGATGGTAAGCTCATATTTATTCTTCATTGCCATCCAGACTGAAGTGACATGTTCTGCAGCATTACCCTACAGAAGATGTCAGTAAACAGTTGGCCAGATAAAACTTGAAACATACCACGATCGGCAACAAGACAACACCAATGAAGGCCTGAGGGATGGAATAGCGAACTGCAGTTTCCTCAATGGAGGAAACCACTAGTACAATTGAATATAAGACCAAAGGAACAAAGTAGGACACTTACGATACTCAGCACAAAATGCGATGACCACAGTTACCGATAAAAGTCTTGAGGAGTGAGAATCAGCACCGAATGTAGTAAATGACAAAACCAAACCTACGCAACACCAGCAGCGGCTGTTCCCATACGAGCCACCGTTCCCTCACTGTTTGGTTCATCCGTAGGTGAAGGAGGCAAAATGAATAGTTCGGGATGAGATTTTAACTGAACGCTTGGATGAGTACATTAAAGGATAAATAAAAAGATACTAGAACATGCCTGAAACCAAAGGTAGGCACAGTAAACTCCCAGGAGTAATATGGCAGTTCCTCTGGAAATAGAAAGTAGACCCGCAGTGGGACATTCAAAGGCATCACCGCAATAATTCTGCATTCCAGCGTTTGTAGTACTTGCATAGGCAGCAGGAATGACAAGGGCTAGAAAAAATTAACAAAATTCTCAAATCGGAGAAAACATTCGTACTGATGCACGAAAGAGTCATAAGCTATACTCGGTTAGTTATCATGGCGACGAATATGGCAGGTAACTTACGGAGGCAGATCTATAAATTATCGCAATTCAACAAAGGGTTTTCAAGGGCAGAAAAAGAGGACGCACGCCTGAGCTCCAGTACCATTGAAAACTCCTTCTTGATGATATAATCCACCTATATCGAATGAGTACACTCTACTCCAAAAGCAGAGGTCCCTTACCGACGAAAAAGGAACAACCAAGGACAAGCAGAATGTTTGATAAGATCGATCCCAGCATCTAAGCCAAGGTCAATCTATCACAAATAGAGCTCGTACGAAGATACTCACGGACGTCTGAACAATTCGCAATTGGCCTAAGATCATCGTGAGTTGCGAACAATTATATTACGGTGGACAAACCGTTGAGTAAAGCAGCAACGCCGACGATAATTTCTACGGCATTCCCGAATGACGCGTTAAGAAGACCTGACATAGTTTCCCCTAATTTGACAGATAACTGATCTGTAGCCTCGCCCAACAACTAAAAATGACGATGTTGTTAATCTTCCAAGAATCTGATGATAGGAGTAGTGTCCACCTTAGCCAAAGGGACGATGGCCAAAAAGCTGAACAAAAATATTAGGCCAGCGTCCCAGTCCATGCTGTGAGAGATGAAGCTCAAAGGTATAAATACGAGTAGGATATTGAACCATGTGCCGAAAATGAAGAACTTGAAAGATTCTGCCCATGATGGCTCATCCTCGCCTTTCATGAAGCTGACAACACGACGGGTAAGAGGAGGATTCCTATGAGCTGAATAGCTGCCATTTTCGAGCAATGGTGAGGTCTCTGAGCTGGTCATGGATGATTGGGTGAAGGTGTTTCACCAGCCAACGTTGTGAATTTGGAATATTCTGCAAGAAACTGCCATATACCTATTGATGCCATAAGCAGAGTCCAACGATCGGTGTTTCACAGCAAATATTGTTCTTTTGGAAGCTGCGTCGGACGAAT